GCTCCTGTGTAGAAGACTAATTTCTCCCGCTTGACATTCTTCTCGTTGTACAGGTCGATTTCCTTCTACTCCGAAAGAAGCGTGGCGCACAGAGCCGACTCCGATATGGTTGCTCGGGCGCGAAGGAGTGACTGGCACTGTCGCCAGTCGGGGCCGAGGCCAGAGATGACCATCGAGATGAACATGTCGTCGGGGACAGTCCCACCGCATTTCTTGATTTGGTCGCGCAGATTGCGGCACCTGTTGACATACGGTCCCGCTTTCTCCCCTTGCTTCATTTTAACCGAAGTCAGCTGGCTGAGCAGACGACTCATTGTAACTGGATTTGTTGCCATGTATGAGTTGCGCAAGTGTTCCCAGAACGCGTGCGCGGGAGCCCATTCCATCTTATAAGGACGAATGCCAGTTCTTCAGGTGAGAGGTTGCGAAGGAGAGCGGTGTATGCGAGGAGAGATTCGTGGTAGTATTGATGCTTCTCCTGGATGGTGCCTTCCGAAGGAAAAGGTAGGCTTCCGTCGTAGTACATCCAGATCTGAGCGGTTGTCGCGAGAAGCTCGAATTCGAAACTCCTTTCCGACGAAAGGAATTGAGGTCTTCAGTTTTGAAGTCAATACAAATTTGGTTTGCATTGAAGCGATGTCTGACTGTGAGCGTTGTGGGTTGTCTTGTGCACGAGCTGACCCTTGACGATTGTCAAAGGTGAAGGATCTCTCGGAGTTGATGCGGTGGTCTTCTCCAGGGAGAGGAAGTCCAGCAACGCCACGTGTGTAGCTTGAGCCGTCAATGCTCATTGCTTGATGGCTTTCAAGGGCGTTGATGCGTGCGACTAGCTCCTCAACGACAGCGGCGCTGACGGAGGTCACCGCTGATGGCGCGTTAGTCGTTGCTGGTGGTGGGCCCGGTGAGTCTGCAGTAGCTTTTCCTTTAGGAGCCATAGTATTGCAGACTTTGAGGTGTAATGAATAACTTTATAAAGGGATTGTTATGAGAAGAACAAAGACTTTGACGGATCCTATAATCCACTCTAGCTCTCATACCATGCCGATACAACCAAAGGATCCAGTAGATAGGATAGGATCCGTTAAGTCTGAGAGGAGACAAGGAAGTCTCTGTAGTGACCTTGTTGAATAATAATTGAAAGAGAACAAGATAATTGAAAGATAGGAGTACAAGAGATTAAATAGATTTCTAGCTAGCCATGTACTATGAGGGGTACATTCCCTTATTAACTGTATTGCATAGCTACAGTAACCGCGACTATTGCTATCCTCGAAAGTTACCATGTTGCAGTGAATTAAATGTCGCGCAGTTACTGGATCGTCAAAGGTCACGACCGTTGACTTCCTCAGACGGTTGACCTTCGGGTGACCCTCGACATTCCGCATGCTCTATATGAGCTATTGCGGTACTGGTACAGTGGAGCAGCTTCGCGAATGCTTTATATAACCTTTCGGTTGTTTCAACTGTTAAAGTTTAGAAGAAAGAAGAGGGTTGCACTAGCAAGAATGGGGATACAAATAGCAAAACCCTAGAAGAGTTGTACTCGCTATAGAGCACCCCACTACAGGCTAGAGCATAATATTCTGACACACCCCCATAGCCAAAGTGGGGTGTAATCAGCAGAGCAAGCAAAAGAAAACAAGCTCAGGGTGGATCACAATGTCACCACACATTCTGAGCACAAGTACAAGAGGTAGCAGTTTTATAGTTAACAAATATAAGCAAAGCTAGAGGCTATCACAGAGGGCAAGTGAGGAGGAGGAGAGACTGTGGGGGAGAGAAGATGGGAGGCGACTGCTGACGCTGCAGACACACAGACGAGCTGCTGGCTCAGTGGCTACCGGAACAGCGCTCCGGACTACTGGGGTAACTGGCCCCGCGGCTAAAAGTAGCGGCAGACGAGCAACGGACCCACGGGCGACTGGCGACTACCGGAGATTGTAGCCTCCGGACTGCTGCTGCTGCTGACGACACGACGACCGCCTCCATTCAACCTCCCCCAACTGTCCCACCCCCATTTCACACACCCCCTGTTCAAACCCTAGCTCTACTCACACTCCACCCCCCTAGCACCACTCCGTACACTCCCACACATCCACCCCCCTCAGCGATAGCTGCAGCAGTGGGAGACGAAGGAGGAGGAGGAGCAGGCGACGCCACACACCCGCCACCCCCCAACCGCCACCCCCCAACCGCCACCCCCCAAACCCTAAAAACAGGGTAGGGAGGTAGGGGGGGGGGGGGGCAACGCGCGGCCCCCTGTAGAGCGGCCCCCCCCAGGGCGCCGCGACGGGCGACGGGAGTTGGGCCGGGGCAGGTCGGGGCCGGGGCAGGTCGGGGCCGGGGCAGGTCCGGGACGGGGCAGCAGGGGCCGCGCACGGCTCCCCTGGGCAGCGCGACGGGGCAGCAGGGCCGCGCGACGGGGCAGCAGGGGCCGCGCGCGGCTCCCCTGGGCAGCGCGACGGGGCAGCAGGGCCGCGCGACGGGGCAGCAGGGGCCGCGCGCGGCTCCCCTGGGCGGCGCGACGGGTCCCCGTCGCCCGTCGCAGCGCCTCCCGGGGGCGACGCGGCGAGTGACGGGGCAGAAACCCGTCGCGCGCCTCGGGGCGCACGGCGGGCAGAAAACCGCCGCGCGCCTCGGGGCGCACGGCGGGCAGAAAACCGCCGCGCGCCTCGGGGCGCACGGCGGGAAGAAAAACTGCCGCACGCCACGGGGCGTGCGGCACAGAGAGTAGCAGTAGCAGTTGCAGCGGAAGCAACAAGGTGGTGAGCCCACCCACAGGATCGATCCAAGGGGATCGACCTGCTCTGATAGCATGTTAAAGTTTAGAAGAAAGAAGAGGGTTGCACTAGCAAGAATGGGGATACAAATAGCAAAACCCTAGAAGAGTTGTACTCGCTATAGAGCACCCCACTACAGGCTAGAGCATAATATTCTGACATCAACAACTTGGATTCGCCCATCCCGCCAAAGTTGGGGTGCAACTACGGTACCAGGTAATGGGCCACCGGTTGTTATGCAAGAGCGCAGAATACTCGAGGAAAATCAATTCTGATCGAGCGGCACGAGAAAAAAGATCGCAAGCAATTCGATTCGATCCAATCCAACCCGATCAGATCCGAACCGATCAAAGTCGATTGGGCCCACGTCCTAACAAGTACACACGATGCCCGTTTGACTAACCCAAGGTTGCCTTGTGAATAGGGCTCTTAAGTGATTCTTGCGTTTCGCTAAGCTTTCGTCAATTCGCACTTAGCAAAAAGGGCTTTTAAAAGATTTTGTAACTCGCTGTTGACCGTTTGACATGGGTCTCATCTGTCAAACTTCGGTTTTTGTGGTTCGTATTGCTCGAGGTGCTTATAAATGGGGTGCAACTGGCTGGTACCCTAATACACTGGTGCAGAGTTTCCATCGCGGGCAGAGCAAATTCGCGTGCAGGGGTTGGGCATCTTGTGTACAGTACACGACTGCCCCGTTAAAGCCCAAGACCTGAATTACAAAAAAAGGAAGGCAAACTGTGCACAGTTTGCCTACCGAACCCACAGTTGACCTCCCGAGCCAGGCTGGTTACCAAAAAACGTCGCTCTAAAAAACAGAGTTGTAGAGCAGAAAGGGTTTGGTTGGCGGTTACCACACCGTCCTGAAGGAACAAGAGCTCAAAATGTGCACAGTTTGGGCTTCTTTGGTAATTCAGGTCGTGCTATTCCCGTAGTATGCGATCGCCTTATCGCCGTTGATAAACACCGCGGTTGCGCTACACACCGATCTGCCCCTATCTCATGCCTAGCCTTCCACGTCGTGGATCCCATGTTGCCGCCGTCTCTTCATCCGCAGTCTTTTCTCCACCTCCCATCGTCTTACCGCCTCATCCCTTCCTTCCTACCCTCATCCCAAGCTTAGCCGAGCACAAAGCGCATATTATTCCACGACGCGGTTCAAACTCAATTCCCCTCACATCGTCCTCCCCGTTGACGTACCGTCGCCCTCGCTTCCCCCGTTTCCCCGTCGCCCTTACTCCTAAAAATAACCGCTTCGCCACACCGTCGCTCACGCCTTCCCCCACCTGCCCTCACGGATACCGTCGCGCACGCCTTCCCCCATCTTCCCTCACGCTTCCCCGCTCATCGCCCCCGCTTCCTCCCATCATCGGCCAAGCTTCCCACAATCGTCGCCCACGCTTCCCCCCATCGTCGCCCACGCTTCCCCCCATCGTCGCCCACGCTTCCCCCCATCGTCGCCCACACAGCCCGAACCGTCGCCCACGCTTTCCCCCACCGTCGCCCACGCTTTCCCCCACCATCGCCCACCCTTCCCCCAACCTTCGCCCACCCCCACCTTCGCCCACCCCCACCGTCGCCCGCGCTTGCCCTCCCATCGCCCTCGCTTAGCCTTGCCGCCGACCTCCCTTCCCTCCCACCTCTCTCCGCGTCGTCATCACTCCCTTGTCTATCACGTTCCCCCTCTTCACCATCGCTTCCCCTGTGTCCCTTCCCCATTGCCTCGTTTGGTCGCTCTCGCTTTCCCCATTGCCACCCTCTCTACTCCTACCATCGTCCATGGTTACCACCCCACCCTTGCATCCTTATTTCCATCTCTTTCATTCTCCCTCCCCCTCAGCCTCTCACCCACCCTGGACGGGGAGGTATGGCGGGCTGGGCTGGGAGCTAGGGATGGGGTCGTGACTCGTTCGCTGTGGGGTGTGGAAGGGTGCGTGGTCAGCAGCACCCACCCCTTTCTCTCTTGCACTGACCTCCTCCCCTCTCTCGCACCAACCCTGCACGCATGGCAGGTGGTGATGAGGCTTTGGAGCAGAGTGTTGGGGGCACAGCCAGGGCAGCGCGTGCAGGCGGGCAGCAAGGAGTGCAGTGCTGCAGGGGGCGGGTCAGGGGAGCGGGGGAGGCGGGGCAGGGGAGCCAGGGGTTAGGGAGAGAGGGTGCCTACCCTGCCACACTATTACCTCCTGCACTCCCCCCTTACTCCGTTCCGTCATTCCCCCACAGTCGTCCTCCTCTCCCTCTCCCTTCCTCCCTTCCTTCCGTCCTGCCTTCCTCTCGTCCTCCCTTCCTCCCGTCCTCCCGTCCTCCCTTCCTTCCGTCCTGCCTTCCTCCCGTCCTCCCTTCCTCCCGTCCTCCCTCCGTCCCGTCTTGTTCCCATCCATCCAATCCTTAGCTCCTCCTCACCCCATCTCCTCCCTTCCCTCGAACGAGCTCGCTCATTCCCCTCCTGTCACCCACGCACGCACCCTCCCCTCGACCGACAAGTCGTTCTCCGCTTCCGTCGCATATGCGTTCATTTCCCCTTCCCTCATCTCCCCATTCCTCATCTCCCCCTCCCTCATCTCCCCATTCCTCATCTCCCCATTCCTCATCTCCCCATCCCTCATCTCCCCATCCCTCATCTCCCCATTCCTCATCTCCCCATCCCTCATCTCCTCATCCCTCATCTCCCCATCCTTCATCTCCCCATTCCGCCTCACCCCATTCTGCCCCACCCCATTCCGCCATGCCATCCTACTCCTCATCCCCATTCCCTCGTTTCCCCATCCCTCCTTTCCCGATCCCATCATTCCCTCAGCCAACTTTCCCATCCCACCATACGGTCATACCCCATCCCGCGACCTCCCCGTCACTTCCACCCGACCCCTCTCCTCCCTGCTTCTTCCCATCTTCCCATCTTCCGCCTCGCCAAAAGGTTTGTTCTTCACCACCCCATCCATCCCATCCCCAAATCCTGCCCCTATCCCTCCTCTCGCGATCCCTCCTCTCGTTTTCTCATTCCCTCCTCTCGTTTTCTCATTCCCTCCTCTCCCCGCCCCGTTCCTCCATGTCTCCCATCTGCCGTACCTCACCTCCATCTGTTCCTCCCATCCTCCATCCTCGTTACCTCCCTGCCACCCTTTCTCCTCCCCACCCTCCTCCCCAGCCTTTCTTCCTCCCCTCCCTTCTGCTTCTCCCCCAAGCGTCCTCCCTGCCTCCCTTCCTCCCATCATCACTTCCTCCCTTCATTCCTGCATTCATCACTTCTTCCCTTCCTCTGTTCCTCGCTCATTTGCCAGTTGTCATTCTTTTGAATGCTTGCTTCCCTTATATTTCAGCCACGTCACATCTGACTTCTTGGTTTGTGTTTGGACAGGCCTGCTCTGCATCTGGTTGTGAATAACCTAGGCTGTCTGATAGTAACATGATGTATAGCCATGCCATGTATTGGATTTTTTTTATAATACAGGATTATTATGAGCCTCAGAGCAGTCATACATATGACCAATACCAAGGAGTTCAATAATTAATATATTACCGTATCTGTAAAGTAAGGGGAATCACCCAACTCGAGAAGGGAACAAAGCTAGGGGGTGTGTGTGTGATGTTGCTTCCCGGTTTGTCTTGCCAGTCTGCTACACTGCAAGCAAAAAAACCAGGCCGTGGTAAAGCCACATCTGGTGCTGGGCACCTGTACCTGCATTGGGGGATATGGGGGTGAGTGAAGTGGGAAAGACAGTAAACGGAATGAGCAGAGGGGAGGAGAAGAAGCTGCATTTCGACACAAAAAACTTCACCCAGCGGGAGCAAGGGTGAAACAGAGGGAGCAAGGGTGAAACAGAGGGAGCAAGGGTGAAACAGAGGGAGCAAGGGTGAAACAGAGGGAGCAAGGGTGAAACAGAGGAAGCAAGGGTGAAACAGAGGGAGCAAGGGTGAAACAGAGGGAGCAAGGGTGAAACAGAGGGAGCAAGGGTGAAACAGAGGGAGCAAGGGTGAAACAGAGGGAGCAAGGGTGAAACAGAGGGAGCAAGGGTGAAACAGAGGGAGCAAGGGTGAAACAGAGGGAGCAAGAGTGAAACAGAGGGAGCAAGGGTGAAACAAAGGGAGCAAGGGTGAAACAGAGGGAGCAAGGGTGAAACATAGGGAGCAAGGGTGAAACAGAGGGAGCAAGGGTGAAACAGAGGGAGCAAGGGTGAAACAGAGGGAGCAAGGGTGAAAAATAGGGAGCAAGGGTGAAACAGAGGGAGCAAGAGTGAAACAGAGGGAGCAAGGGTGAAACAGAGGGAGCAAGAGTGAAACAGAGGGAGCAAGGGTGAAACAGAGGGAGCAAGGGTGAAACAGAGGGAGCAAGGGTGAAACAGAGGGAGCAAGAGTGAAACAGAGGGAGCAAGGGTGAAACAGAGGGAGCAAGAGTGAAACAGAGGGAGCAAGGGTGAGCAGGGAAGGAGATGGTGGGAAGCAGGGAAGGTTAAGGGGGAAAGCAGTGAAGGGGATGGGGGGAAGCAGGGAAGGGGTTGGGAAGAAGCAGTGAAGGGGATGGGGGGAGGCAGGGGAGGGGACGGGGGGAAGGAGGGAAGGGGACCGGGGGGAGCAGTGAAGGGGAAGGGGGGAAGCAGGGAAGGGGATGGGGGGAGGCAGGGGAGGGCACAGGCGGAAGGAGGGAAGGGGATGGGGGGAAGCAGGGAAGGAGATGGGGGGAAGCAGGGAAGGGGATGAGGGGGAGCAGTGAAGGGGAAGGGGGGAAGCAGGGGAGGGCACAGGCGGAAGGAGGGAAGGGGATGGGGGGAAGCAGGGAAGGAGATGGGGGGAAGCAGGGATGGGGATGAGGGGGAGCAGGGAAGGGGATGGGGGGAAGGAGGGAAGGGGATGGGGGGAAGCAGGGAAGGGGATGGGGGGAAGCGATGGGGGGAAGCAGGGATGGGGATGAGGGGGAGCAGGGAAGGGGATGGGGGGAAGGAGGGAAGGGGATGGGGGGAAGCAGGGAAGGAGATGGGGGGAAGCAGGGAAGGGGATGGGGGGAAGCGATGGGGGGAAGCAGGGAAGGGGATGGGGGGAAGCGATGGGGGGAAGCAGGGATGGGGATGAGGGGGAGCAGGGAAGGGGATGGGGGGAAGGAGGGAAGGGGATGGGGGGAAGCAGGGAAGGAGATGGGGGGAAGCAGGGAAGGGGATGAGGGGGAGCAGTGAAGGGAAAGGGGGGAAGCAGGGAAGCGGATGGGGGGAGGCAGGGGAGGGCACAGGCGGAAGGAGGGAAGGCGATGGGGGAAGCAGGGAAGGAGATGGGGGGAAGCAGGGATGGGGATGAGGGGGAGCAGGGAAGGGGATGGGGGGAAGGAGGGAAGGGGATGGGGGGAAGCAGGGAAGGGGATGGGGGGAAGTGATGGGGGGAAGCAGGGATGGGGATGAGGGGGAGCAGGGAAGGGGATGGGGGGAAGGAGGGAAGGGGATGGGGGGAAGCAGGGAAGGAGATGGGGGGAAGCAGGGAAGGGGATGGGGGGAAGCGATGGGGGGAAGCAGGGAAGGGGATGGGGGGAAGCGATGGGGGGAAGCAGGGATGGGGATGAGGGGGAGCAGGGAAGGGGATGGGGGGAAGGAGGGAAGGGGATGGGGGGAAGCAGGGAAGGAGATGGGGGGAAGCAGGGAAGGGGATGAGGGGGAGCAGTGAAGGGAAAGGGGGGAAGCAGGGAAGCGGATGGGGGGAGGCAGGGGAGGGCACAGGCGGAAGGAGGGAAGGCGATGGGGGAAGCAGGGAAGGAGATGGGGGGAAGCAGGGATGGAGATGGGGGGGAGCAGGGAAGGGGATGGGGGGAAGCAGGGAAGGGGATGGGGGGAGGCAGGGGAGGGGAAGGGGGAAGCAGGGAAGGGGATGGGGGGGAGCAAGTCGGAGGAGGAAGCAGCGCAGGGGATACGGGGAAACAGGGAAGAAGGGAAGGGTGTATGTGCGGGTTGGAAAGGGGGCGTGACAAGTGTGCGAGATGGGAAGGGAGAAGGGAGGGATGGCAAGGGCAACGAGGAGTGGAAGGGAGGGCGACGGGGGGAGAGAGAGAAAGAGAGCGTGAAGGGGGAAAATGGGTGAGAAATGGGGAAAGCGGGGTGAGAACAAGAGGAGTGAGCAGAGGGAAAGAGAATGAGGCGGGGGGAAGCGAGTGAGCAGGGGGAAAGAGAGTGAGTGGGGGGGGGAGAGAGTGAGCAGGGGGAAAGAGAGGGAGCAGGAGAGAGTGAAAGGCAATGGGAGGGGAAGTGAAGGTGACGGGTGGGGAAGCGAGTGTGACGGGCGGGAAAGCGAGTGCGGCAGGCGTGGAAGGCGACGGGAGGGGGAATCGAAGGCATCGGAGGGGAGAAGTGAAGGCGACGGGAGGGGGAAATAAAGGCAACGGGAGAGGAAGTGAGGGCGACGGGAGGGGGATATGAGGGCGACGGGAGGGGGAAATGAAGGCGACGGGAGGGGGAAATGAAGGCGACGGGAGGGGGAAATGAAGGCGACGAGAGGGGGAAGTGAAGGCGACGGGAGGGGGAAATGAAGGCGACGGGAGGGGGAAATGAAGGCGACGAGAGGGGGAAGTGAAGGCGACGGGAGGGGGAAATAAAGGCAACGGGAGAGGAAGTGAGGGCGACGGGAGGGGGATATAGGGGGAAATGAAGGCGACGGGAGGGGGAAATGAAGGCGACAGGAGGGGGAAGTGAAGGCGACGGGAGGGGGAAATAAAGGCAACGGGAGAGGAAGTGAGGGCGACGGGAGGGGGATATGAGGGCGACGGGAGGGGGAAATGAAGGCGACGGGAGGGGGAAATGAAGGCGACGGGAGGGGGAAATGAAGGCGACGAGAGGGGGAAGTGAAGGCGACGGGAGGGGGAAATAAAGGCAACGGGAGAGGAAGTGAGGGCGACGGGAGGGGGATATGAAGGCGACGGGAGGGGGAAATGAAGGCGACGGGAGGGGGAAATGAAGGCGACGGGAGGGGGAAGTGAAGGCGAGGGGAGGGGGAAATGAAGGCAACGGAAGAGGGGGGGGAGGGGGGGGAGTGAAGGCGACGGGCGGAGCGAAGGCGACGGGCTGGGGTCGCGAACGCGACGAGCTGCGGAAGCGATGGCGACGACGCGGGCGACAGAGAGCGGAAGCGAGGGAAAGGAAAGCGAGGGCGACGGGAGGGGTCACGTTTGGGCGATTCGATTTTCGCCGCGAGTTTACGCTACGGAGTAGTTGCACAATAACCTGCATTTCGACACAAAAAACTTCACCCAGCGAACACTAGGGTTGCGCGTCATCATCGAAATCCGCGCCACCCACATCGTAAGGCCCATCTGATCCCTGTTGAGTGAACGCCGACGCCCTGCCCTGTCTACGAGTATGGTCTATGCCTTATCTCAAACTGTGCACAGTTTGCTGTGCTCGCGCTTTTCTGGTTGTGGGAAGGACCCCACCCATCATGGGAAGCGAGAAACTTTTGTCGCAAATTGGTTTCGCGAGTGAAAGTCTCTCGCAACCCAACCTAACCTCTCCGTGCCTGCCTCCCGAACCTAGTTTTTAGCATTGACTTCCGTTGAGTAATTCAGGTCTTGTTCAGAGGAGCGTTGCCTTGGGATTGCTGCAGAAAGGACACGTCAAGTGTCCGGGCTCAGTCGTGGACTTCTCGGTGCATTAGAAATGTATTCTTTGAAGGGTGTTCCGACGTTGGCATCAGAACTCGGACGAATGACGCCCTTGCAAGAAACTAGACCACCCTATCCAATTTCTTAATGCACTAGGGAAAGGACTAAAAAAAAAAAAGGAAGAGCGATGGAAGAGGCCCCTTGGATCATGTTCACCATCATGCACTTTCCATGCTCTTGTGATGCTTGGAGCCCCTAAAGCTACGATTCACACCATCTTCCTCATCTTGAGCGCCATTCTCCTCCCGCAACCGACGGCGCGAAGGCACCTGAACGGAATTTGTTGCTCCCGAAGAGCTGGCTGGAGGATTACCATCGTCCCGTGCAATCTGCTTTTCGCAAGAAGCAGGGACCCCATGCCTTTCAAATGCTTCGTTGATGTTTGCGACGCGCGGTTGAGGCGAGCCCAAGTGTTGCTGGAGCTGTTTGGCCACAGTGACACAATGCAACACAAATACCGTACATGCACGAAAGGCGTGAAACAAAAGCATGAAGTGTTAGCATGGAATGATAGCAGGAAACGATGAAACGTAACAGTACTCAGCATGGCATAACCATGTGTCACACCCACCAGCAGCACTCTGCAACACACACCCTGAGAGTCCACTATGAAACGGGCCCCTGGCTTCATGCTTCCTTCCCCGCCTACCTCTCTGCCTGTCCTCCTCGACCTCCCGCTCAGATATGCTTCCGACAGCCCCTCTTGCGGCGCCATGTGGCGCTGTGCCACGTCATCCGCCTCCATCACCCTCTCCCACTCCTTTGATTCCTCCTGCCAGCAGATCAACACATGCGCCATCAATGCCATGCCATCCCATGCCATGCCATGCCATGCCATCCATAAAGGCATGTCGACATAAGGAACACACCACACAGATGAACCAGCATCATAAAGGCACTCAGCGTTGCAGGAATCACCAACATAGACACACCAGCGATGCCGCAGGTGCCATAGAAGCTGCAATCATGCAACCCTAGGCACACCCAAACAATGCCCATACTCCCACCTCTCTCTTGTGCCATGCTCCAGAGATCACCTCTAAACCCCTCTCAACACCTGTACTAAGCACCATTCATTTCCCAGCAGAAACTCACCAAGCTCAGATTTCCAGCAGCAACAGCATCTGAAAGGGCCTTGCCTCTCTCCTTGGCAGACGTGCCTCCCCCTTGACTGGACCTCATTGCTCCACCCGCCCCACACCCCTCCGCCCCACCTACACTCCTGCTTGCTGCCCCGCCTCCGTTGCCCACCACCCGTGCTGCTCCCTCTCGACCTGCCCCGCCCAGCACTCGTCTCAGGGCGCCAAGGCCCTGCCCCAGCACACTCCTTAGCACGCGCTGCTGCTGCTGCGATTGCTGCTGCTGCTGCTGCTGTGATTGCTGCTGTGATTGCTGCTGCTGCGACTGCTGCTGTTGCTCCTGCTGTGACTGCTGTTGGTGGGTGGGGTTTGGTGGCGGCTGCTGCTGCTGCTCTTGTTCCTTCTGTTGCACGTCTCTATCCTCTCCATCTCCCCCCACCACCCCTCCCTGCCCCCCAGCATCCACTGACCTTTCCCCGTCTCCCTCGCCTGCTAGCCTCCCTAAGCCTGCCAGCACACCACCCAAGCCTCCCAGCCCTCCCAGCAGCGCCTCAAGCCCCCCTGCTTGCACCCCCACCCCCCCCGGCAGGTATGCCCATCCCCCCTGCCTGTGCAGCCACCCCCCCTGCCTGTGCAGCCACCCCCCCTGCCTGTGCACCCGGGACCCCTTCTTGTGTGCCCATCCCCCTCGCTATGCTTCCCCCCTGCGCCTGCACCTCCCCCCCTGCGCCCGCCCCTGGCAGCAGCTGGGGGCGCATGACTATGGTGGGGAACGGGCCAGACCCGCCCACCAGTGCTACAGTCGCAGGGAACTGTAGCAGCGGCTGCTGCCCTGCAAACCATGCCTGCTCCTGCTGCTCCTGCTGCTGCTGCTGCTGCTGCTGCTGCTGCTGCTGCTGCTGCTGCTGCTGCTGCTGCTGCTGCTGCTGCTGCTGTTGTGGCGATTGCTCTTGCTGCTCCTCCCGTTGCTGCAGTTCCTGTACCTGCGCTTCCTGCTGCCCTCTCTCCTCCCTCCCCGCACCCTGCCCCTCCTGCCGCTCTCGCCTCTCCTGCATCTCAGATTCGTAATCTGCCCGCCGCCCCTGCACCTCCTGCCCCTGCTGCCCCTGCGGCTGCTGCTCCCTCTGCGCTCTCTGCCCGCGGCCCTGCATGTGGGAGTTGTATTCAGCCAGAACCTGCTGCATGTGGAACAGCCGTGCTGCTGCCCTCACCTGCTCCACCAGTGACCCCGCCTGCCCCTGCTGCTGCCCCTGCTGCTGCCCCTGCCCCTGCTGCCCCTGCCCCTGCTGCTGCTCCTGCTGCCCCCCAGCCTGTCCTTGTGGCTCCTGTTGCCCCTGCTGCTGCTGTCCATGGGCAGCAGTAGCAGTGGAAACAGCAGCAGCAGCAGCAGGAGCATCAGGAGGAGTTGCAGCATCGGTGGCGTTGTCAGCTGGAGGGCGGGCATGGGCAGCAGGGCGAGAGGGGGCGGAGCGAGGCGGATGTGCGGCGAAACCAGGAACGCCAAAGAGCCCCACGTGCACCCCGCCTGGGAAAGAAAAGCTCGCAACAGGCGCGGCCACTGATGCTGATGGCGCTGCTGCTGCTCCTGTGCCTGCCGCAGCAGCTGCTGCGGTGCGTCCCACTGCTGCTGCAGATTGCTGCTGGCCTCCGAACAGAGGAAATCTGATGCTCCCCCCCATTCCTCCCCCATCTTCTCCGCGCCCTCGCTCCACCACCCCACCTCTCGCCCACTCCCTGCCAGCCACACTTGGTGCCTGTGCCTGCAAGTGCATCTGCTGCAGCAACGGCAATTGCTGGCGGAGGGGAGGCATGGCAGGGAAGAGAGAGGGGGGCAGTGACAGAGAAAGGAAGCAAGATGAGAGCAGGTGGAAGGCGATTGAGAGAAGCCAGATTGCAGGTGAGGGATGAGCTTGGGCAGAACGCAGTAGGCAAATTCTCAAGAACGATCAGCCAAGAATTATTCGCCATTCATAACTCACAAAACCCTCCCCTCACCTCCCTACCCCCCCCACATCCATACCCCTCCCCCCCAGAACCCAGAACCTAGAACCCGAACCCAGACATAGAGCCCCAAACCCAGACATAGAGCCCCAAACCCAGACATAGAGCCCCAAACCCAGACATAGAGCCCCAAACCCAGACATAGAGCCCCAAACCCAGACATAGAGCCCCAAACCCAGACATAGAGCCCCAAACCCAGACATAGAGCCCCAAACCCAGACATAGAGCCCCAAACCCAGACATAGAGCCCCAAACCCAGACATAGAGCCCCAAACCCAGACGGCACGACTGTGTGATGTGAGCGCACATGGGTGAAGAGAGCGCTGGGCCCTCGGGCAGTGATGAAGACCGGCGGCACCGGGGACAGGCGCGGGCCTTGCTGCTGCTGCCCGCTGCTCGTACCAGCAGCAGCAGTGGCAGCAGCACCAGCTGTAGTGCCACCAGCAGCAGTAACGCCATAGGAAGGAGGGCGAGCAGGGGCAGGCCAGTGGAGGGCGCGGCAGAGGTGGGAAAGTTCGAGCAGCAAGGGCGCCATGAGGGACACACACCGCACCGTGCCCTCCACTGCCTCTCTCATCGCCGCCTCTGCTGCTGCTGCTTCTCCTGCCTCTCCTGCTCCTGCTCGCGCCCCTGCTGCTGCTCCTCCTCCTGTTCCTCCTGCTGCCCCTCGTCCTGCTGCTGTGGCTGTTGCTCCTGAGGCAGTCACAGCAGCAGCACCCACAGGCGGCAAGTGCTCCAGCTGATCTGCGAGGTTCTGCTCGAGCAGCACAGGTCATGGGAGCGAGGAGGGTAGGGGGGGTGGAGGGAAAGAACCAGGAGAAGTGCATCACAGGCAGACAGTGCTTATTTTTGGGTCGACTCAAAAACACAGGCAGACAGTGCTTGAAGCATGGAGCTGGAGCTAGCACATTGAAGGCCTGCCTAACCAGCTGGACTACTACTTAACTCATGACCATTGGTGCATAAAGCAGAAGCAATGAAACTCGAAATCAAGAGGGCGCGAGGGAAGGGCAGGGACTGACGAGAAGGGAGGAGGAGAGGGGGCCGGTGAGGAGGCTGTTGGAGCGCCTGAGGGTGGTCGCCAGGCGCTGCAGTGATGGCAGCTCCCTCCTTGCTGTTGCTGCTGCTACCGCTGCCACTGCCGCTGCTGCTGCCGCAGGTGCTGAATTCACTGGGATTGGCGCACGGAGGCAGGGGAGGTAAAGAAGCATAGTTTCACGACTAAGGGAAAAAGACCTGCTTAAAGCCTTCAATCACTTTTTATGCCCCCGACAAGACAACCAAGGCTTGAATCCCTCAAATGCCGAATAATGCCAGAGCTGAAGTCCCCAAGCCACCCACAAAAGGTACAAGTGTGCCGGATCCACATGACAGGCAGCCATGTGCTGCTCTCACCTGACGGCCTCAGCTGACCCTCCACGCGTGATATATACTCGTCCACCGTGGAAAGGGCGTCCCTTCGCCCTGCGTGCCTCGCTCCTTGCTGCTGCTGATGCTGCTGCTGCCGTGCACCTCGCTCCTCCTGCTCCTCCCCATGGTGCCCCAGGCCCCCCATCCCCCCTGGTCCCATGCCGCCAAGAGCCATCATGAGAGGCAGGCCAGCAACACCCATGCTGCCGCCCACACCCATGCTGCCGCCCACGGGGATGGGGAAGCCGCCCAGGGGAATGCCCACCGGCACAGCCACGCCACCTGGCGCTGCCATGCCCATCACTGATGGCATGCCCATGCCTGCTCCCATGCCTGTTCGCACACCTCCCATGCCTGGTCCTCCCATACCCATGCCTGGCCCTGCCATGCCCACGGGCATGTCAAAGCCACCCACAGGCAGCCACGTGTCCATGTGAATCTGTACCTCTGGCACCCCGCTCCCTCTACCCTCTGCCCCTTCCGCCCCCTCCCTCCGTTCCCCAGCTTCACTCCCACCTCGCTCCGTCCCTGCTCTCTGCTCCCCTGCTTGTTCTTGTTCCGCCCTTCCTCCCCCATCCCTGCCTGCGCCTCCATCCGCAGCAGCAGCAGCATTGCTGGTCTGAGTGTCCTGGGCAGTGTTACCGTCTGGTGCAGGGGAGGGGCGTCTGAGAGCCTGAGCGGCTCTCATCTGGGGGGGACATGGCACATGGCAGGCAGCGCAACGCAAGGTGGATGAGAAAACAGACAGCAGTGGAAGAGGGAGACCAAAGAGGCAGACTCGAGCTGAGCTCATTTGTCGGTTGAACAAGATTTCAATGAGATGCTACTTGGAGAAGGCGTGTTGGCAGGCATGCATGGAGACATGAAATGACACACGGCGTACCGAGATGGGAGCGATGTCAATCGTGACATTCGCACTGGCACCTGCTGCCTCGCTTCCACCCCCCCCCCACTCGCCCACCCCCTGCTTCCCCTCCCCCCAAGCCTCCCCCCAAAGCTCCCCCCATGCCTCCCCCCATGCCTCCCCCCATGCCTCCCCCCATGCCGTCCCCCATGCCCCCCAGCCCCAAGGCCCCGAGGCCAATGGATGAAAGTACACCCGACACGATCTGATTGGCGCAGGGGGGGGGGGTGGGAGGAGGGGAGAGGATTGGGGGGGGGTTGGGCGGGGGTGGCTTGGAGACGAGTGAGACAGGCACGGGTTGAAAGGGGAAGGAAGGAAGGGGGAGGGGCGGGATGGGGGAAATCGGAAGGCGGGGATGGGATGATGAAAGAGGGAGGGGAAATGGGAGGGGAAAGGGAAGGGGAGTGGGAAAGGGAAAGGAGGGAAAGACTGGGAGGAGAGATAGAAAGAGCGATCGGAGGGAGAGAAGCGGCAGGGATGACGAGGAACCAGCCATGGGAGTGTAACGCATGCTTGCTCTGAATCTGACAGCCCTCTCAGTGCACCCCACCCACCCACCCACCCACCACCCAATCACCCACGCACGCACCCACCCACCCTCCCAGCCACGCACCCACCCACCCACACATACATGGTTCAAGTCCGGAAGGCCCTGAGAGCCGTCCGATTGAAGGTTGAACGTGCCCAGATGAACGGTTCCAGAGGCAGGCAGGCCGCCAATCTGCTCATGACCCAAGCCTCCCCCAAAGCCTCCCCCCGGAACGATGCGTATCCCGCCCATACCGCCGCCGCTGCCCCTCTCTCCCCCTGCTCCGCCCCTCCCCTGTCCCCCGCGCAACAGCCTTGCCCTTCCGCGAATCCCCTCCCCCTCCGCGCCCGCGCGCGCGCCATGCGCGGAAGAAGGGGAGGAGTCCCCCGTGAGGCGCGAGACCAGGTGCACCACGTGGCCCGCACTGATGCCTGGGGAAGGAAAAGCGGGGGAACGGCGGAAGGGGAGGGGAGGGGAGCACGGGGAAGGGGAACAAGCGGAACAAGAGGAACGAGGCGCAGGAGGGGGGTGGCCATCTAGATGTGTGCCATGCGTAGCCTAGGCACAAGAGAAAAGCCTTTCCAGACAGCAGCGAGCCTGTCAAGAGAGAAGTAGCAAAGAAAGATCTTGGGAAAGGCATGCTACAAGAATCCGGGGTGAAGGAGTTAAAAGGAGAGAATCGGGAGTGAAGGGGGGTACGGCGAGAGAATCCGGGGTGAACGGGGGTAAGACGAGAGAAGGAGAGGTGAAGGGGGGTAAGACGAACCGTAGGATGCGAGGGTCTGATCGTCCTTGAGAACCTTCCCTCGGAAGACCAATCGCTGGCTGCCAGCTGGAACCTGCACCTGCGTGGATATCTTTTCCTTGAACGCGCTCACGAGCAGCTGCGGGGGGAGTGGAAGGCGAGAGGCGAGGCGATGGAGGAGAGAGAGAGGTGGGGAGAGGCGACGCGAGAGAGAGAGGCGAGACGAGAAAGAGAGGGGAGGTGTGTGAGAGAGAGGAGGGATCAAGAGACAGGGAGAAACGACTGGAATAACAGCGCAACGGTTAGGCGTACAAAATAAACATACAAGGCGCTAATCGAGGACAGAGAAACGCGAGGCTGGGGAGGATGCACGACCAGCAGACTCGAGAAGAAAAGTTGAAGATGTCAGCAACGGTACTAGCTGAAAGGAGTCGACCAAGTTACTGCAGTGCAGGAGTTGATGAAGTTTAACTCTTGTTGACCAAATCTGAACTCTAAAGACACGTCTCGATAATAAAAGATGACAGTTTAACGACGTCTGATAACCGGTCTACGTCGGACTAAAGGTTTGCCACCGTCCAACATCCTAGGCCGTGACTCGCGTCGATCTGACAAGTGCGGATCCGAAATTCAAAAGAACAATCTCTGCAGCTGCTCCTGGGACCCACAGAGAGCGATCACCCTACACTAGCACGCACCGCGACTAACACCCTACACTAGCACGCGCCGTCAGTAACTCCCTACGCTAGCACGCACCGCGAGATCCACGCGGACATCGTAAGTCCGGTTATCGAGAGTCTTGATTGTTATTCCGACTTCGCTCCGACTTGCGCCGTCAGGAGGAGGCAATTCCACATCCATGGCGAGCAGGACTCCACGAAGAAACCCTAATCGCAAAATCCGACAAATAAGTGGCACAGGAGGACACTCAGGGCGTGTTACATTTTTATTTTTTTCCGTCCGGACGGCCGACCGTCCGGACGATTCTGTGGTTACGGAACTCGTTAAATCTCGGCAGTAAGTTCGTCAGGGTCTAAACGACGTCGTATTCTTCGTATTGCCTCCTTACGACATCGCATTGGTCGCAACGTGACCGTACGACGTCGCAACCTTCGCACGCGTTCGGACAGCCGTCCGGACTTTCAGGGAGTTTGAAAATTGTAACACGCCCTCAGTAAGGTTTCAGGCTGTCTGTTACTGAATTCAGGCAGAACTCGAGGATTTGAAGGCGAGGAGAGCTGTACCGCACAGAACCGCATAATCACGGTGCAACTTCTAGGGAAGCGGACCAGGAAATGCAGAAGGGAAAGTACATGTTAGCTCCATATTTTCAGAATTCTTTAAAAATTACCTCTAAGTTCACTCCAACAGTCCAGGTTTGTGGAATTCTGCTCACGCGAGGCCCAAATTATGTTCAAAACAGGTCTTGCAGGGCTCAAATCTCGACACGTTTCCATTTCGCACCAAGAATTTCTCGACGGGGCAAAAAAACATAATACCCCTAGCGAAACCAGGACACTTTAGGGAGGCATCAACCCTAAACACGGGAACCCGCCCGGTGTTTAGGCTTGATCCCTCCCGAAATGTGCCCCGTCTCCCTTGGGTGATTATGTTTTGTTTACCCCGTTAATAAAATATCGGTGCGAAGTGGACACGTGTCGAAATTTTGGCTCTGCAGGACCAGTTCTGAACATAATCTGGCCTCGCGTGAGCAAAATTCCACAAAGTTGGACTTTTTGGGTAAACTCGTTAGTAAATTTGAAATATATTTAAAACTAAGGACCTGGCATGTACTCTCCCAATGCAGAACCAGTCACTGCGTTGACGCGCGTGAGCGTTGGCATGCAGAGCAACACGACCGACACGTGTACGAATGTGCGGCGGCACCCTCACAAAAGCTTCTATTACGCGTTTCAGTGTACACATGTTAATAAAGCTTCCGGTTGTTAACTTGTGACAAAGAAAGCATTTTCATTCCACAAGGCAAGTAAACCTGGCTAGAGAGGAAACTGCAGCCAGTTTACAGAATCTTGTTTCTTATGTCCTCTAGCTTCTTGAGAATCTCTCCTGGCGTGCGATCAAGCTCTTCCGCAATCTTCTTTTGCAGCTCCAGCGAAAGTGATGGAAATTGCTCGCACAAGTCCCCATCAATTACATCCTGGAAGGAAGGCATAAACACGACAACATGCAAGCAGAACAGCAAAAGTAGAGCCATTAACCATTATCGTTTGGGCACGTCAAGGTCACATGGTATACGAAGAAGTTGGCAAGAAGAAAGGTGAGTGCAGCAGCGAAGCAGGGTGGCTGACCTTGACAGGGAAGTAGGCGGATCGGTAGGCGACGTGCTCGCGGCCGGCGAGGGGAGGGTGCTCCTGGCGCAGGTGCATCTCGAGGTGCGAGAAGAAATCCACGTCCTCCCGTGAGACAAAGGGCAGCAGCGCCTCCACCCCCCCCAGCATCGTGCTGTAGATGACGCACTCGCTGCCGCCTGGTGGGGGAGAGAGGGGAGGGGGGTGAAAAAGAGCGGACAGCAGGGGGAAAGCAAGATGGGAAGAAAAGGACGATACTTGCAGGATGGTTAAAGGGAAGCCGACAACGGTGGTACAGGAACCAGGCACCAGGCATCACAGGGGAGGCAGAAAGTGAGGCAGAAAGTGAGGCACTACTTGCAACGATTGAGTTGAACCCAGTCCCTGCAGGCCTCACCTGGAATGAGGGACGTCTTCTGCATGGCAGTGACAATGTCCCCCACGTGGAACTGAATCACCTGTAGGGCACGGCCGGCCGGTCACGAGAGTGAGCAGCGGCAGTGGAGGGAGGGAAGGTGGGCGGGTGACATACGAGAAGGGTCAAAATGTGCCGGTGAGACAACAGCATGGGCGACAGCAAGGCACAGAACAGCTGTGCCAGCAGCCGCACAAGAATCCTGTCACCACACAGCATTGCAGGCGAGCAGCACGTTAGGCCATATGTGCATGCAGCAACGCAAGGGTAGAACAGGGAAAACTGCCCCACCTGCTCAAGCTTATTAGGCGCCCCGTTGAGTCGCCCCCCTCCCACGGCGTCCCACTTGACACGCCCGCCTGTCTGATCCTCCTCAATCTCCTCGGAGATCTCCCCCGGCAGGCGCACGAGACACACGTTGCCAAACTTGTCCCCGCCCGCCATCGTGTCAAAGTCAATGCGCAGGGCGGAGGTCAGCCAGCGCGGGGTGATGTCGTCTGCAAAGACGTACAGCTGGTTCTCCTGCCGGCTGTGCTGCACGTAGTGGAACGACTGGGGGACGGGGAGAGGGGAGGAGGGGTAGATTGGGGGAAGGTGGGAATCAGGGGGGAAGGGGGAGGGTTGATAGGTCTCAAGGTGTGACCGTATGATGTGCGAACACGTACAGCTGGTTCTCCTGCCCGCTGTGCTGCACGTAGTGGAATGACTGGGGATCATAAGGGGAGGGTGGGGTTGTGGGGGAAGGGCGGGGGCTAGCGGGAAGAGGGGCGTTGAGAAGTCTCAATGCTGACGACGTCTGCCAACACAACACGTACAGCTGGTTCTCCTGCCGCCTGCCAACGTATCCCCTCCCCCCCCCCGCCCCCTACACCCCAGCCACTCACCTCCTGCACGTCGCCCACGTAGATGCGATCGCCGCACGCGTGGATGCTCACGATCGCATGCGGGAACTGCTTGTTCTCGCACTTTCTCAGCAGCTTCTTCTTCCCAAGGTCATATATCCGCAGCACATTCCCCACCCCCACCAAAAGCCTTCCATGGAACGCACACAGGGCAGTGGGCACCCCCCCTTCCACCGCCGTCTTATGCACCAACTCCAACTCCCTCCCGTCCTCCCCCTTGAACTTATACACATGGAGGAACCCTCCCAGAAGGTTCCACTTGGGCCAGAACTGGAGGGATTTCGCGGTGCCGACCACCAGGTACTGCCCGGCTGCTGCCCCGCCCTCGGTTTTATCAGCATGGAAGTTGACCGTGCAGAGCGAGAAGGCAGCCTCGCTGTCTGAGAGTTCCATGAGGCACGTTGTCTCGCCTGCCTTGGGGTTTATCACCCGGATGCACGACGCCCATTTCGACGGGACCGTTTTCGGGTACCCGAATTGCTCGTCCGGTAGCGGGTCTTTGGCTTTCTCGTCCTCCTCCTCTTCCTCCTCTTCCTCCTCCTCTTCCATCCCCTCCTCTCCGTCTTCCCCTCGGGCCCCTCTCGCTGCTCTTGCAGCCTCTTTCCTCTCGCGCCTCTCCTCCTCCATCCGCTCTGCAGCACCCGTCACTTCAATCGCTTCCTTCCGCAGCTCCTCCCTCTCTTCCGCCGAGAACGCGCCCTGGTCGCTCTCGATCGTCACAATGTTCTTATAACGCGGATGCAGCACTGCCTTGCGCGGGGTGTACCTTAGCGGAATAACCGTCTGGTTGAAAACCTCTCCAAGCCTCTCCACCGTGAAAACCCGCAGCGTTTCGCCCGCCACCGCCACAATACCCTCTGGGCACTGATCCGACGCAAACGGAGCAGCATACTCTAAAGCCTCATAGGACAAAGGCGTTAAATGGAAGCTTCCCAGAAGCGAGTACCCAAGCCAGGGGCGGCTGGAGAGGCACAGCATGGCGCGCCGCTCCCTCAGCTGGGCACCGAAAAGTTTCGGCGCGCGCAGCCCGAGGAAGCGCGTGCGCGAATCGGAAAGCTGCCCGGAATTTTTATCCACTTCTGTGCGAAGCAACACACCGTTCTGCAGGCCGGCGTTAAGGAAGAGGCTGGACGGCACGTGGGCGGCAGCAGCGGAGGAGGAGGCTGCGGTGGAGGAGGGGCCGTCCGTGCCGGGCCCGGTGGGGACGTCGAGGAAGAGAAGGGACTCTGGTGGGGCTGACACTGCCTGAACACTCAGCACCTGTTTGAGGGATGGATGGAGGGAGGGAAATGGGGGGGAAGGCATTGGGCAATGCAAGGAGGGGCCGTCTGTGCCGGGGCCCGTGGGGACATCGAGGAAGAGCAGAGATTCTGGTGGGGCTGATACCACCTGCACGCTCAGCACCTGGTGGGAGCCGGATGGAGGGAGGGAAATGGGCGTGGGGGGGAAGTTCCGGGGAGGGAGAGTGGGAGATGAGGAGAGGGAGGTAGACCCCCCAAAAACCAAACCCTCAGACTTTGCACCAAAGCACCCTCTCATTCCCCCCGTCCCCCCTACCCCCCTTACCCCGTACCACCTTTCGTGTTGGGGTCCAGGGAAAGACTTCGCACAGTGGAGTGCAGTGCAGTGTACACTCCCACTGCTAGGAAGAGCGCCCTCTGACAGCCCTCGGGTATGGTGCAACACCCTACCCGAGAACCCCAAAACCCAAGACCCTAAACCCTACACCCAAAGATCTCCTTCCCCCTTCTCACCTGCATGTTTTCATCAGGATCGAGCGAGAGGATCCGAACGGTCGAGTCGTACGATCCGACGGCCAGGAAGCGCGCCCGCTGGCGGCCCTCGGGGATGGGGGCGACGTCAAGGCAGGCAACGTCCCCCGGCATGTCCTTCTTGCCCATCTCCACCATCTGCCCCCTCACGTCCATCTCGAAATGCACCAACTCGCCGCCTGACAGGGCGATTACCACCTGGGGAGGGTGGGGTGAGATGACGGAGAGTGCAGGAATGAGCAATGGTCAGAATAAAGAGCGGTTGACACCTCTTGTCACCCCCAAGCGGTTACAACAAACGGCAATTCACCAGACGACGATTTAAACTGAGTTGGACTGACCTGGAAGCGGTTGCAGCCGACTTTGACGATGCTCTTCTTGCCGGGCGTCTTCCACTCGTTGATACGCCCGTCCGCCCTGATGTGCCTAATGCCGCTTGGGTGCACCTGCACGCGGGATGGGATGGTGCAGGCAACATAGATGAACATGGGCGCATTCACACAGGCCTGTTGACGGTGCCTCACGAGGCCTCTTCCACTCAATGATACGCCCGTCCGCCCTGATGTGCCGAATGCCACTCCGATGCACCTGGGATTGGGATGGGATGGGATGGGATGGTGCAGGCAGGAGAGACGGACATGGGCTTACTTTTGAGGCGCATCAGAAGCAAAACAACCCACACTGCCCCCCGGCCACCGCACTGACCTGCATAAGCGAATCCTCCCCCAGCAGGGAAACGGCGAGTGAGGGCGTGGTGTCCAGGAACCCGCTGTCACTAACTTCCTCGACTGTATCGCCAATGCTGAGCACGAGGGTGGCGTTGACGAAAGACACCACAATGTACGCGTCGAACTCGTCCTGCGCACTCTTGCGCACCGTCCACACCGCACTCGGCACGCCTGGTAACTGCGTTACCGCCATCTCCGTCACGGCCAGCCCCGGGCGGAGAATGCGCAGGGACGAGCGCGGGCCGCGGCCGCAGAGCGCGAAGACCTGCGGGGTCTCCTCGTCGAAGAGGTTGGAGACCTTGAGGTCGAGCAGAGGCATCAGCGACTCCACCTCGTCGATCTGGGGCGAGTGACGGAGAGGAGGGAGAGCGGGAGGAGTGAGAGCAGGAGGGGGAGCAGGAGGAGGGAGAACGCGGGGGCTTGCTGAGGGGCGAAGACAGTTTGCATGCCCACATGAAACACAATGCACCTCTGGCCCTCCTTGAACCCAATTCCCACATCCTGCCCCTCAACTTACCAAAATGAAAACGATGAAAAAAAACATACAAACAGAGCAAACGTGAACCAGCGGAGTCGCGCTGACCTGAACCAGGTTCTTGAGGCGGCGCGGGTGGAAGAAGACGGGCTGAAACCCCTCGTCTGTCTCCATGAGCGTGGCGGAGCTGGACTCCACCTCCTCGTCGTCTCCGATGCCCTGGAAGCGGTACAGCGCGTGGTTGCCGAACTCCGACGCCGCGAACAGGAACCCCGCGCGCAGCACGCACAGCCCCGCGCCCACGGGGATCGTGTCGAAGTACTTAATCTTCAGCTCCGTCACGCGGTCCGTGTCCTTGGGGTCGTGCTCTAGGGTAACCCTAAACACGTCGCCGTATTCGGACTGGAGGAGGAAAAAGTACATCGATTTCTGCTTGTGCGTCGCGGCCGCGACGATCAGCACGCCGCGCTCCGCGGGGAGGTCGGCGCGGCGCGGAATGACGGCGCGCACGTCCGGGTGGCCCTGGTTCTTGTAGATCACGAAATTCTCGGCGCACACCAGCACGCCAGACGGCCCATCCGCGCCGCCCGGGACCGCAACGAGGAGATTCGCGCCGTTGTCGACCGGCTCGGCCCATTTCCGCACGACGTGGTTCAGGCCCAGATCAAGCTCGTAGAAGGTCAGCTGCTTCTGCGCGTCGGCTGCTGCTTGGCCTGACGGGTCCTGATCGGCATCGGCGTAATCGAGCTCTATGGCGGCGAAAATGGGGTTGTCGAATCCGCAGTCCACGCCCACGACGGAGAAGACTAGGGTTTGCGATTTGTGCGCTTCTAACGGGGATGAGATCGTGAGGCGCGCCGAGCTGTCGCGGTTCAGAACGTACACGAACTTCTGCTTCTCGCAGGCTGCGATCATGACCGCTCGTCCTTTCGGATCCACGGCCAGGAATTGACCAGGGACGATCCGGCGACATCCCGACTTGCCATAGGTCTCCTGGTGTATCTTATCGAAGAGATTCTTCTCTCGGTTGTACTCCAATATAACAATTCGGCCAGAATCTGATCCCACGACAATGAGGTCCTTAGAGGAGCCGGTGAGCCGGAATTGGACGAGCGAGCGAATCTCGCCAAATACTTCCACCGCGTACAGGCTCTGCAGTTTTCCCGCGGCATCTGGCCGTAATAGCTCGAGAATCTTCCCTCTCGCGACCACTATTTCCTGCTCCTTCGTCCCTGAGAAGTTGCCGAATATGACGTGACTTATGCCCGTCGCCCGTTGGAGCGTAAGATTATAGAGATACATGGCTTCTACGGACTAGGGGCATAAGACGAGGGACGGGAAATGCGGTCCCGAAGTGAAAATGCGGTCACCTTTTGAGTGAAGTAGACAAGCTGGCACAAACAAAATTTGTCCTTTAGTTTACACTTTCCTACGTTTCGTAGCCGCGTAGCGCAGTGGATTAGCGCGTTGGACTTCGGATCCAAAGGTCGCGGGTTCGATCCCCGTCGTGGTTGAGTTTTTCTGCCTCGGGATTGGATTGTTTTTATCCCTGTTGCATCCAATCACACCACGCTTTCTTGAATTCCTCCCAACTTCCCAGCAATTCTTGAGAATCCCGTTTTTGCTGGTGTGCTGTTTCTTGGGATCACCTCCCCTTCATTCTTGGGAACATCTTCAGCTGCTCATCGATAGTCCGCCTCCACGTGGTTGCCAGCAGTGTCGGCATGAGTCTCGTCAGGATGCCACCCACTCGAGGTACGTAGGTTTCTTGCAGTCATATTAGGTCGGTTGGTACTAATCCTAAGCTGGTGAATCCAGTTTTTCCGTGATAGTCGGTTGTGGTCTCATTGCTTGACGGTTCACGCGTCGGATAAGGCACACTGAAGCGTTGCACAGGAGCAATCAAGACCATCGTGGCCGTTGGTATCACGTTCGCGATCGCAACAGTGTAGCCACGAAGTCATCTCACCCTTGTAGCGATCTGCCCTACTTCTGCATCTTCGACACGTGGTGACCCATGTCCGGTCGAGTTCAACCCAGCCATTCATTCCCGTCCCGATTGATTCTCTTTCAGATGAGATCGATGGGGAGGACGAGACGCTAGGGCTGCGATCCGGTCAGGTGAGTCGCGCATTCGCTCAGGTGAGTCGCGCATCCGCTCAGGTGAGTCGCGCATCCGCTCAGGTGAGTCGCGCATCCGCTCAGGTGAGTCGCGCATCCGCTCAGGTGAGTCGCGCATCCGCTCAGGTGAGTCGCGCATCCGCTCAGGTGAGTCGCGCATCCGCTCAGGTGAGTCGCGCATTCGCTCAGGTGAGTCGCGCATCCGCTCCCGTCAGTCAGCGCACTATTACGTCAATGCTTCCATCTTTGCGTTGCTTATGTCTCGACCCTCCTAACATTCTTCATTCGCTCGTACGCAAGTATCAACGAACATTTTCTTTCGTCGCGCTCTCTTCCCCAGCCGACCGATCAGCGCGGGCCGCTCTGCTCGTACGTGGCGGCAACGGCGCTGCTGCTGCTGGGCTGCGGGGTGGGGCTCGGCATCGGCGCGCTGCTCTCGCTGCTCTTCCCCGCCTCCTCGCTCCGCTTCATCTCCACCAACGCTTCCCCTGACGCGCTGGCGGACGCTCAGTCGCAACTGTCGTTCCTGGTCGTGGGCGACTGGGGTCGCAACGGCGACTACAACCAATCCATCGTCGCGGAATCGGTATGTACGTACACCCAGGAAGTCCGTTCTCGCGGAATTGATATGTGAAGAACTAGAACGCTCTGCCAATGGCGGGCCACTGAACCAGTCCCTGCTCGCGGGATTGATATGTCATGCTTCTAGACAGTTGCCTTGGTAGTGTTAAATACGAGGGACAACTTCCACGAGGGACGATTTTGTGAATCTCAAGTGCCATGTCAAGCTGGTCGTGACTTGTATCTTGCATTCTCTCTCCTCCCCATGCATCAGATGGGCGAGGTGGCAGCGGCAATAGACAGCAGCTTCGTGGTGGCGTCCACGGGGGATACCTTCTACGATGACGGGATGCAGGACATCGTTCAGTGTGACTTGTGTCTTGTGGTTCTCCCCCCGTGCCTCTCAGATGGGCGAGGTGGCAGCGGCAATAGACAGCAGCTTCGTGGTGTCGACAGGAGACAACTTCTATGACGATGGGCTGCAGGACATCAATGATCCCAACTTCGCCTCCTCCTTCTCTGAGATCTACCAGGCGCCCAGCCTGCAGACACAGTGGTACGCAGGTACGCCCTCCCGTTTTAGCTCCTGCTCTCCTGCTGCTGGTAGTGTTGGGCAACCACGACTACCACCGCACCCTAGATGGGCTGCAGGACATCAATGACCCCAACTTCGCCTCCTCCTCCTCTGAAATCTACCAAGCGCCCAGTTTGCAGACGCAGAGTGGTATGCAGGTATGTGACAACAACACAGACGCAGTGGTATGCAGGTATGTGACAACAACACAGACGCATTGGTCTGCAGGTATGTGACAACAACACAGACGCAGTGGTATGCAGGTATGTGACAACAACACAGACGCATTGGTCTGCAGGTATGTGACAACAACACAGACGCAGTGGTATGCAGGTATGTGACAACAACACAGACGCATTGGTCTGCAGGTATGTGACAACAACACAGACGCATTGGTATGCAGGTATGTGACAACAACACAGACGCATTGGTCTGCAGGTACGGCCCCCAATGCACTCCCTCTAATGCCGCTGTCAGTGCTGGGCAATCACAACCATCACCGCACCGCGAGATGCCAGCAGCCAGGCAATCACATCCCCCACTCCCCCACCTTCCCTCCCTTCCCCTCCCACCCTGTTCCCACGTTCTCCTCCGCCGCTCCTGCACTGGCAGTGCTGGGCAACCATGACTAGCACCACAACCCCGACGCCAGCAGTCACGCACTCACGTCCCACCTCCCCATTTCACCCCGCAATCGCACCCCCCATTCCCCCCGTGTTCCTACCGCCGGCAGTGCTGGGGAACCACGACTACCACCGCAACCCCGACGCGCAGACGGACCCGGCGCTGACACCCCACCCTCCCCCACCTCCCCCTTTTCGCCCCACTTTCCCCTCACCTCCTATCACTGTCCGCCCACCGGCAGTGCTGGGGAACCACGACTACCACCGCAACCCCGATGCGGAGACGGACCCGGCGCTGAGGCGGAGGGACCCACGGTGGCGCTGTGAGAAGACCTACACCGTCGTGCGCGACACCTGCCCCAAGTTCCGCTACTGTGAGTCTGCCCTGCCTGCCCCAAGTCGCTGCGCGGTGAGCAGGGGAAGGATTTATCAAGTTATCATGCGCTTGAAGCCATGGGCCAGGCACAACCTTTTCCTTGCACATTTCTGTCCTTCATGCCAGCCCTCATCTCCCACCTGTTTACCACTGACAGCACCTTCACTGCTCATGCCAGCCCTCATCTCCCACCTGTTTACCACTGACAGCACCTTCACTGCTCATGCCAGCCCTCATCTCCCACCTGTTTACCACTGACAGCACCTTCACTGCTCATGCCAGCCCTCATCTCCCACCTGTTTACCACTGACAGCACCTTCACTGCTCATGCCAGCCCTCATCTCCCACCTGTTTACCACTGACAGCACCTTCACTGCTCATGCCAGCCCTCATCTCCCACCTGTTTACCACTGACAGCACCTTCACTGCTCATGCCAGCCCTCATCTCCCACCTGTTTACCACTGACAACACCTTCACTGCTCATGCCAGCCCTCATCTCCCAGTTTTTCCGTCCTTGTCTCTTCACCCTGTAATCAGCTCAGTCTCCCCTTCTCCCTTCCCCGTATCTTCCTTCCCCTCCTGTCCCCGCCGTCCCCACTAACTGGGTCCATCAGTCGAGTGCAACCCGCTGCTGCAGCTGTTTTTCATCGACACGTCTCCATTGGTGGCGGGGTACTGGCACGGCAAGCCACACGAGTTTGAGAAGCTCAACTTCACAGGCCTCCCAGACGCCTCCCTCACCCTGCACTACCAGCTCACGGTACTGTCTGCCTCTTCCTCTCCTCTGACCTTTGATTCGACACAAAAGTCGCCTCGCTCACCCTGCACTACCAGCTCACGGTGACTATTTTTGAGACGTCTCAAAAGGCGCCTCCCTCACCCTGCACTGCCAGCTCACGGTGCTGTCTGCCTCTTCCTCTCCTCGTCTCACCTCTGCGTGTCCCATCTCCTACTCTCTCCTTGGTCGTCCTACACTGTATGTACTGCGTATTGCTGCTTGTCTCTCATCCATCCTGCCTGCTCATCCATCCTGCCTGCTCATCCATCCTGCATGCTCCTGCAAATCTTCCAGCCCTCATGCTTGCCCGTCTCACCCCTTCCATCCCGCCCCTCCCTCCGTCCATCCTCAGTTGCTGCGTGCAGCGCTGGAATCATCAACTGCCACGTGGAAGGTGGTGGTTGGCCATCATCCCATCCACAGCACAGGCAGCCACGGCAACACGCCTGAGCTGATCAAGTTCCTCTACCCGCTTCTCAAGGTGCCTCTCTCTCCCTCATTTTCGTCTCCCCCTTGTTTAGTCTGCCTCCTTCTACCTCACCTGCACGTCAAACCTGCACCTCAAACCTGCACCTCAAACCTGCACCTCAAACCTGCACCTCAAACCTGCACCTCAAACCTGCACCTCAAACCTGCACCTCAAACCTGCACCTCAAACCTGCACCTCAAACCTGCACCTCAAACCTGCACGTCAAACCTGCACGTCAAACCTGCACGTCAAACCTGCACCTCAAACCTGCACATCAAACCTGCACGTCAAACCTGCACGTCAAACCTGCACGTCAAACCTGCACCTCAAACCTGCACCTCAAACCTGCACCTCATACCTGCACCTCAAACCTGCACCTCAAACCTGCACGTCAAACCTGCACGTCAAACCTGCACCTCAAACCTGCACGTCAAACCTGCACGTCAAACCTGCACGTCAAACCTGCACGTCAAACCTGCACGTCAAACCTGCACGTCAAACCTGCACCTCAAACCTGCACGTCAAACCTGCACCTCAAACCTGCACGTCAAACCTGCACCTCAAACCTGCACCTCAAACCTGCACCTCAAACCTGCACCTCAAACCTGCACCTCAAACCTGCACGTCAAACCTGCACGTCAAACCTGCACGTCAAACCTGCACGTCAAACCTGCACGTCAAACCTGCACCTCAAACCTGCACGTCAAACCTGCACGTCAAACCTGCACGTCAAACCTGCACGTCAAACCTGCACGTCAAACCTGCACGTCAAACCTGCACGTCAAACCTGCACCTCAAACCTGCACCTCAAACCTGCACCTCAAACCTGCACCTCAAACCTGCACGTCAAACCTGCACGTCAAACCTGCACGTCAAACCTGCACGTCAAACCTGCACGTCAAACCTGCACCTCAAACCTGCACCTCAAACCTGCACCTCAAACCTGCACCTCAAACCTGCACGTCAAACCTGCACGTCAAACCTGCACCTCAAACCTGCACCTCAAACCTGCACCTCAAACCTGCACCTCAAACCTGCACCTCAAACCTGCACGTCAAACCTGCACGTCAAACCTGCACGTCAAACCTGCACGTCAAACCTGCACGTCAAACCTGCACGTCAAACCTGCACGTCAAACCTGCACCCCAAACCTGCACCTCAAACCTGCACCTCAAACCTGCACGTCAAACCTGCACGTCAAACCTGCACGTCAAACCTGCACGTCAAACCTGCACGTCAAACCTGCACCCCAAACCTGCACCTCAAACCTGCACCTCAAACCTGCACGTCAAACCTGCACGTCAAACCTGCACGTCAAACCTGCACGTCAAACCTGCACGTCAAACCTGCACCTCAAACCTGCACCTCAAACCTGCACCTCAAACCTGCACGTCAAACCTGCACGTCAAACCTGCACGTCAAACCTGCACCTCAAACCTGCACCTCAAACCTGCACCTCAAACCTGCACCTCAAACCTGCACGTCAAACCTGCACGTCAAACCTGCACGTCAAACCTGCACGTCAAACCTGCACCTCAAACCTGCACCTCAAACCTGCACCTCAAACCTGCACCTCAAACCTGCACCTCAAACCTGCACGTCAAACCTGCACCTCAAACCTGCACCTCAAACCTGCACGTCAAACCTGCACGTCAAACCTGCACGTCAAACCTGCACCCCAAACCTGCACCTCAAACCTGCACCTCAAACCTGCACGTCAAACCTGCACGTCAAACCTGCACGTCAAACCTGCACGTCAAACCTGCACGTCAAACCTGCACCTCCAACCTGCACCTCAAACCTGCACCCCTCTCTTTGTGCATCCCTCACTTTTTGGTAGACACCTTTTGATGCTCTTTCTTCCCTCATGCGCACCTCTTGAAGGAAAGCATTCAGTTCGTCTCTGCTCCTCCTCTCCGCGCCCCCTTGCCATCTCGCCGTGCGTGAACTGCCTGTGTTATTGTCGATATTCTAAATGCAGCTGACCTTGCCTCTGCTCCCTTTGCGACTCCCTCTACACCTCCTTGTGTGTTCAATGTGTGCTCACTGTGCCTGCTGTGCCTGCTGTGCCTGCTGTGCCTGCTGTGTCTGCACCACCTGCAGCGCTACAACGTGGACATATACATGAACGGCCACGACCACAACCTGGAGCTTTACAAGGACGTCAACAGGTGCGCCCCGTCACACAATGTTGTGCTGGAGGGGAGGAGGGGGGTGGGTGAGGGACAGGGCGTGTTTTCGAGCTCCCATGGTGCAGCTTTCAGCTTTCGGCCAAAATCTGCCATTTCTTTTGACTCTTATTTTGTTTCCTGTCCGTTGTTTCCTGGTATGTGCAGTGGTATGTTCTTTGTCACAAGCGGGGGTGGATCTAAGGTGGACCGGAATCGCACAGTAACCGGTGACAACAATTCCATGTTCTATCATTCTCGACAGGGCTTTGTCTCTGCAAGTGTAACGCAGCAATCCTTCACTATAAAATTCCATGACATGTTTGGTGCTAGCCTCTATACACTGACAACCTCCAAGGACCCTCAGTGATAAAAGCCATATACACCGTGCCCTCGCCATAAATCACCCTATGACCATTTTTGGCTTAAGGGATCGGACATTCAGGAGCTTTGTGGCATTTTTTAGTGTCAATCTCATGAGACTGTTACTCAGTGGTTGCAGCGCATATGGTAGACTGGATTTTCCGCTATCGACAGATTGAGAAGTGCAAGCCACTCACTTCCCTTGTTGTCAATTCCACAAAAAGAAATCAGGCTAGAGCGCATCTTCTCTTCACACCACTAGCTTGTTTCCCAATTCAGTCCGTACTTTGCATGCTATGCTAATGTTCATAGGTATGTCAGGTGATGGAATTACTTTGTGATGGACTATGAGATGGTCATGCGACGTGATTATGAATTCCAATGCCAATGACTTTCTCCACCATATGTTTGAACATTTGAACATACTGTAACTGTACTCTCTGGTTTGCGCTGCAGTGGCTCGTATGTGCATTTGTACAGTCGAATGATATTATTTTATTTAATGGTTTGTTCAGGGACGTATCGCGCACATGACAGCGCGCTGTCCTCGAAGGCGGAAAGGTGTCAGTGAGATGTGCACATCATGGTTACCCTTCGCATAAGCTACTCTTGGTCGCTCTACGTTCTCCGTATTGGCGAAAACATTCGACTCCTCGTCGAACTATTCTAGCCGCGCCGCTGACTCCATCACGTTCCGCAAATTCCCCCCCATTTTGCTGAAAGCGCTGGCAGGCTTTCCCCCGCCTGTCAGCACATTGCCGTGGTGCGGCGTCCCCCTAGGAGTTGCCCAACTCACTTGTCACTTGTCTTGTCACTTGTCCCTTCGCCTCCCCTCCCCTCCTCCTTCCGCTCCAGCGGCATCTCTCCAACCAGGCAATCCTGGAAACCTTCCTGCAATCCTTCGCATCCCTCCCAGTTTCTCAGCTCAATCAGCAAGTTTCCTCAGACACTCCCCTCTGCAGATTCATTGTCGGCTTTTTGTTTTAGCTCGGCGTTTTCATGGCCATGGCTTCCTTCGCGTCGCCTCGTCCTTAGTGGTGCTTAATCACGGAGTATCTGAGTAGCACTAATACCGGTTATTGATATTCTCCTTGAACACGCCTGGCTGTAGGCAACTTCGTGCTTCCTGGTGCGTTCTTACGGAATCGACACGACCTAGTAGAAACACGAAGCTGATTGTTGGTGAACGATCTGCTCGAGTTATCATATAGCATGGGATCTAAGATTTTCAGTAACCTGACGTTCTAGCCATTCTATACCGCCTACCATAGTGGATCTGAAGCATCATGGTAGATTGAAGACTCGCGGATCGAAGAGTTTCTTACTGTCGTGGATATGAGCGGTTATGTCGGATTGAGTGTCTTCGCAAAAGGACGTCGCTGCGACATGGAGGCTGCGACGCCACTGCGAAAAGGCTATTTCTCCCGTCCAAGTCGTTTTTTCAGCGCAAATCACTCGCCACGCGGCACGTGCTGATATGGTGGATAGAAGACTAGCGGATTGAAGTGTTTTGTTTACGGCTGCGACGTTGCTGCTAGCTATTTCTCTCGACCACGTCGTTTCTTCTGTGCATCTTGCTAGCGGCGCGACACTCGCTGTTTGCGACGCTTCATGTGGCTACTTGCGACGTGGACCTGCCGCGTGCGACGCTCGACCTGCTACTTGCGACGCTCGACCAACCATTTGCGACGCTCGACCTGCTAATTGAGACGTTATACCTGCTACCCCGCGGCGCTCGACCTGCTACTCGAGACACGGATCCTAGAGGCCGTCGCGGATTCAAGAGGCCCTCGCGGATCGAAAGGGACGTACCTTTCTCTTAAGATACCGTCGCGGATCCAAGAGGCCGTCGCAGATTGAAGAGGCCGTCGCAGATTGAAGAGGCCGTCGCAAATTGAAGAGGCCGTCGCGGATTGAAGAGGCCGTCGCGGATTGAAGAGGCCGTCGCGGATTGAAGAGGCCGTCGCGGATCGAAATGGACCTACTTGCGTGTCGCCAGGTGAAGCTGCGTTCCCTCCAAGCTAGTAATGACCCTCCCTTCTCTGCGAGCTCATGACGATGTTTCCTGCGTCCGTCCAGACTTTTTCCGTTTTCATTTCTTGTTCTTATTTTATTATCTCAATAAACTACTTGGTTTCAATTGCAGGGATTGAAGAGACTTGCGCGGATCGAAGAGACTTTGTGGGCCGAAGAGACTTGCGCGGATGGAAGAGACACGAGCGGATGGAAGAGACACGCGCGGATGGAAGAGACACGCGCGGATGGAAGAGACACGCGCGGATGGAAGAGACACGCGCGGATGGAAGAGACATGCGCGGATGGAAGAGACATGCGCGGATGGAAGAGACATGCGCGGATGGAAGAGACATGCGCGGATGGAAGAGACATGCGCGGATGGAAGAGACATGCTGCTGGCGGATGGAGCGATCAGCTGTGGTCGACAAATCAAACCAGCTAGTAAGTTCCCTTGCCCTCCGCTCTTCACTCTCTCTGTCCTGAGCTATCTCATTGTAGTATTATATTTTTGTCTTTGAAATTTCCATCGACGTTGCTCAACGGCAGGTCCCCCGGTAGCCCTTGGTCACCTACTTATCCTCCTTGGCTCTAATCCCTTCCTTCGCTCTGTGGCAGGGGGATCATGAGGACAGCGCGTGTACAAGGGGAGGCGAGCATGGTGGGATGACGCACGGCCGGCAGCCACGGGCGTATGGCTGCCCTACACGCCCTGCTGACCACCCGCTTAGGCGACGCTGCTGGCGGATGGAGCGAGGCGAGAAGGCAGAGAGAGGCAAAGGCGGATGGCACGAGGCGGATGGAGGGGCTGGCGTGGTGAAGGCGGTGTAATTCTGGCCTGCAGCCACGCGAGGCAACGATCAGCTGCAGTCGACAACCAAAGCAACTGAGTTTCCTTACCCTCGCCTCCTCACTCTCTCTCTTTTTGTCTTGGAATTTTTCACCGATGCTCTTGATAGAGGCGACACCCACGATCACGACCTTCTCCGGATGTGAGTGACTGAGTTCCCTTGAGCCCTTTACTCACTCTATTGAGCTCTCTCGCTGTCCTATTCCTTGCCTCCAATGCTTTCATCCACGCTCTTGATAGAGGCGACACCCACGGCCAGCACCCTCTCTGGACGTGAGTGCATCATCAGGTTTGCAAGGTTAACCCTTGGTAAAACAGAAGGTCCCCCTGGTTCAAACTTGGTACAACAGAAGGTCCCCTTGGTTAACCCTTCAAACGCTGCTGCTTTTTGCTTGTTGCTGTTCTTGTTTGCGATTATTTCTAACTTGTTTGCTGTTTCTGTCTCAATCTTGTTTGGCATTACCGCGGTTTCCTTGTTTGGTGCACTTGTCTTGGTGCCTTGTTCATCCATGTATCCATCTACTTATCTCCCGTGGCTCTTCCTGCCTCCCATGGCTCTTTGGCAGGACAATCTTGAGGGCGGTGCGTGCCCGGTGCGTGCACGGGGAGAGGACAATGCAAATGGCGCGCATGCAAGGGGAGGGCGAGCGTGGTGACAAGCACGGCCGGCAGCCACGGGCGTGTGGCTGCCTCTACCCGCCCTGCTGACCACCCGTGTGCGAGGGCGAGGAGGCGGTGCTGCTGGTGGAGGGAGCGATTTGCTGCATTCGACCTTCAGACCCACTGAGTCCCCTTGCCCTCCGCTCGTTGCTCTCTTTCTTGAGCTCTCTCGCTGTCATTCTTTTTGTCTTTGAATTTCTATCGACACTCGATCAAAGCGACACCCGCAACCACCACCACCTCCTCTCGAAGTGAGTGAGACATCAGGTTACCCCTTGGTAAAAAACAGAAGGTCCCCCCGGTTACCTCTCTTGTTCTCTCTCGTCAATCGTCGATCTGTATTCTGCTAGTCGTGTTTGCCTTTTGTTCTTGTTTGCCGTTCGTTTTTGTTTGCCATTCATTCTTGTTTGCCACTCATTCTTGTTTTCCATTCATACTTGTTTGCCTTTCATTCTTGTTTGCCATTCTTGTTTGCAACTCATTCTTGTTTTCCATTCATACTTGTTTGCCTTTCATTCTTGTTTGCCATTCGCTCTCTCCGCTCTCATGTTTCCTAATTTCTCGCCCGTGGCGAGTTCCGTTCTGTATCCTCTCTCTGTTTTTGTTGCTCCCCATGCAGAGCCAGCAGAGGGCGGCAGTGGGATGACGCACGCCAGGCAACACTGCTGCTGTCCGTCCTGCTGACCACTGCTCGCCTCTCAGGGAGCAGAGCACACTCAGCAAGAGCGCGTGCAACGGAGGCATACGGGCCGTGGGTGGCGCGCATGCATCCCGGATGGACGAGCGCACGCGGTGGGATGACGCACGGCCGGCAGCCACAGGCGTGTGGCTGCCTCTACCCGTGGCTGCCTCTACCCGCCCTGCTGACCACCCGTGTGCGAGGAGGCGGTGCTTCTGGTGGAGGCGGGTTCCATTCTGGTGCAGTCGATAACGACTCTAATTGAGTTTCCTTACCCCCACCTCTTAACTCTGCCTCTTAATCTCTTTGTCATTCATTCTCGTTTGTCTTTGGAATTTTCATCGACAATCTTGGCAGCAACGACCTTCTCTGGATGTGAGCTCTCTTGAGCCCTTTACTCCCTCTCTCTTTTCGTGTATCTCGCTGGCGTTCTCCTCTGTCTTTCAACTCTTCATCGATAGAGGCGGCAACGACCTTCTCTGGATGTGAGCTCTCTTGAGCCCTTTACTCTCTCTCTCTCTTGAGCTCGAGACAAGGCAAGGCGAGGTGAGGCGAGTTGGAGAGAGGCGGTGTGGAGCGCAATCTCCCCTGGGGCGGATTGAGCGAGGCTCTTTTCAGGAGGATCCAAGGCGCAGCGGATCCAGCGGGAGAGGAGCGAGCTCAAGGACTTGCTCTGGTGGGTGGGTGCATGGTGCCGCTCTGGTATGTGTGTGCTGACTGGATTCTACGGTGCTCACGGATTGAGCAAGCGATTTGCGGCTGGAGGACCCAAGGCCCGGTGGATGCAACGAGGATGGACGCATCCTGCTGCTCATTGAGAGAGGTGAGATGTTTGTGGCGCAACGAGAGGTTGTTTGTGGCGCAACGTGGTGGGACGACGCACGGCCGGCAGCCACGAGCATGTGGCTGCCTCCTACCCGCCCTGCTGACCACCCGCTTGCTGGCGGCTCGCGAGGCGAGGCGGATGGAGCAAGGACGGAGCGAACGAAGCTTGTCTTTGCCCATGCGTGTGCTCTGCACCTGCTGCACCCGTGGGGTGAGGTGGAGGTGTGAGAGGGAGTGGTTGATGGGTTGGAAGAGGAGGAACTTGGAGAGGGATGATGTCGTATGTGGAAGGGGACTAAAGCTGCGGAAAGAGTGTGTCGGGGTGATCCTTTGATTGGGGGGTGGCTCCCCCTCTCGTTGGCTCTCACTCTCCCTCTTGCCGAGCGGAGCTGCGGGAAGAGTGTGTCGGGGTGGTGTTACTTTCAATTGTGGGCTGGCCCCCCCTTTCGTTAGTTCCCACTCTCCCTCTTGCCCAGCTGAGCCGCGGCGCGGTAAGCGTGTGTCGGGATGCGTTGCTTCGATTGGGGGCTGGCCACCTTCGATTGGGGTTTCTCATCCTCCCGCTTGCCCCACCGTTGGCTCCTCCTCCCTGACCACTTTACTTCAGTACCCTATTCCTGGTAACTCCTCTTTCCGTCTCTGACGCCCTCCTGATCAGCACTCCTCTTTTCGTCAACGTTGGACGTGAGTGCAACGCCTACGGCCGCCTTCTCTGCATGTGAGTGCAACGCCCACGGCCGCCTTCTCTGCATG